TAGTTACTGAATATTCGCGTAGAATAGCTCGTACTCCATCATCAAAGTTTGATACTTACGCAACACCACCGCCCCGTTCTCGTTTCTCGTTCACGTTCGGCGTGAACCAACTGGTCTACAGAATGAATAAATGCGCGATATTAAGCACAGCTGGTACTAAAATTGATTGGGAGTTCATAATTAGTATCAAGCTATATGGTACTTACCGGAATATCTTTTATTCCGAAGCCGCGTCCGCCGGCGGACACGAAGGTCGTTTCTCATGTCGCCAGCAGACGTTTCTCGGCAACGGGAGCAACGCTATACATTATTATATCTTCTCGTTGCTCCCGTAAGGGCGGCCAGCCATTTATTCCCTCTCTTGGAGATTGAACGTTGGCGAGGGCAGACTGCGAAAGTAATAAAAAGACCTTTTATTGAGAAGTTAATGTTTATGACTATATCCGTCTCGTATGATTGTATTTATCAAAACCAAGGAGAGGCCGTACCCGTATATCCTGTTCTTTATTTGTCTACACCTAACCCGTATATCCTGGGGGGCTCGCGCAAAATAAAGTTTGTTGTGGGTTGAAATAGTGAGATATAAACAATCGACGTGACTAGTTTGTTTGGTGACGCAGTTCATTTTTGATAGGTGGGTATTAAAAAGGGGACCCATTAAAAAGGATACGGTAACTAGCATTTATCAAATGATGATCGACGTGCATTCGAAATTTACCATAAAAATTTACAAAGGAACATTCCCATCAATGCCAGTTCAGTTGATATAGATCCCTTACTATCATATGAACCGAATGTTCGAAATACGGTTGATCCCGTACATTCTTTCAGCTTTAATGATCTCCCTTTAATCAAACGTCTTGAGGTTCGCAGTCTGTTTCATCAATGCTATCTTACACCAATCTTTGCAGCAACAACCACAACCACAACCAGGACGACAACAAAATTAACAAATCGACAGTAACAAAACCTCAGCAAGCATTCGAAAAAGTTTCTCTCTTAACGTTATCAGTGTAAACAGGTCAGCTCAAACTCTCACAGGATTTATTCTCACTCTATTCAACCGTTGCATTATCTCAAGCCGGTTCTTGAAGCAAGCAAAACTATAATTAGCATCAATATTTTATCTTTGCTCCCAAAAAAATTGTATATTTACAAAAAAAACCCAGGAAAAAAGTAATTAACAAAACAGTCCGACATCCAAATTAGCCAGTCTAATCTATAGGAACATTATATATTACGAGATGATGTTTAAAAGATCTTCCACTCCGATCAGACCTGTTTCTGTTACAGAACAGCGAGCTCTATTCTCACCAACAGTAATAATGCCTTTCGAGCTTGGATCTACCATACGTGACTCTTCTCACGATGTTACTTACAAATTGATACAGCCCTTGGGCAATGGATCGTATGCTGTTGTATACATGGTCCACAGTAGCAAAGATAATAAATTGTACACTCTCAAATGTTTGTCCAAAGCAAATTTGTCCGAATACCATTTGTCAGTGCAGAGAAATGAGGTAAGATACTTTATTATATTAAACAGCTGTTCTGACTGCTTGCTGTTGATTGATGTAATATATTGTTCATTATTACACGCCAGGCAACACTCCATCGACGACTTACTTCTGGTGGAGTCAAGTACGAGAATCTTGTCACACTTAATTATTCGTTCGAAACAAGAGATTGGCTATTCCTCGTTCTTGAATACTGCGAAGGCCAAGACCTATTTATTGGCTTACGCAGAGCAACAGCAACGGATACGATCGCAAAGCTCTACTACTCTTCACGAGCACATCTCGAAGTTGTGAAACAGGTCTTTGAGCAAATCCTGGAGTCGGTCATTGCCATGACAACGATATTGCACATCGCGATTTGAAACCAGAGAATTTTATTGTCATTACGAAGAATGGGAAAAATGGGAAAAATGGTATTCATGTGAAACTGACGGACTTTGGCTTGGCTACCGACGAGAATGAGTCTGTAGATTTCGAATGTGGTTCAAAGCCCTACATGAGCTACGGTAAGTACACCCGTGAATGCGATTTATGACGTTATTCATTACAACTTTTCGTATTAATCTCTTTGTAATTTGTACTCAGAATGTCGTAATCCCGTTCGCAAGATGTACAACCCGCGTCAGGCTGACGTTTGGTTATTGGGCATCATCTTCTTGGATCTCTTGTGCCATCGTTCACCGTGGACGGATCCTAATGCAAATATTTGCAGAATTTCAACTTGATAAAATTGCCTTCTTGAGGCAACGGTTTCCGACTATGCCCGAAAAAGTTGCCCGATTTTAGCAGATCACGTTTTCTGTTTCGAAGGGTCCGTGTCAGCATTAAGGAATGGAAAGTTTGGTGCAAGTACTTGGTAGAAAGGATGCTCTCGGAAGATAAGAACTTATCGTAACTGTTTGTCGCGATGCTATCATTACTAAGGAGTGGGCAGCTTCAGACTTTAGTAAGACACCGCTTACTAGAATCATGCCCGGAAACAGTCGTAGTCCGATGCTATTGATGAGGAATTCGAAGAGATGGACCTGTTATTTTCAACGACGATGAGAACTTGCTTCGACTTGAAAAAGACAAAGAAAACATCAAACAGAAAGACTTTAACAATGGCAAAGATTCAAGAAAAGTTTCTTTTGAAGATCTCAAACATTCCACCGACGGTATTACGAATAGTAGCGATACAGACTCTGGTTTTGGTTCTGACAACGGTTCCACCAAGCGACAACCTCGTGATTATAGTTCAGCGTCTATGCACATCCGAGACAGGGATACTAACAAGGAGTCTTCTACAGTTCTCAGGCAAAAGTCATTTACTGCAAACCTCGACCTTGGGGTGAGCAACGGACTCGCGGACATCAACGTAAAGCAGTTAATGACTACTCTACCAGTCCCAATAGCCATTGGTCATCCTACCATCAATGACGAGAACGTCTGGAACAAAGACGCAAAGAAAAGGAAGATCAAGTTCAACACGAGAAACATCAGGAAAAACATCGTGATTGGTGGGGTCAAGAGCGTCTACCAGGGTCTGGATTCACTAACTTTAAGCAATCTGGTCATGTCGATAATCAACCCTCCTGGCCAGTTAACCATTCATTCCCTCGCTGCACTCGTGCTAAGAGCATTTCTCGTTCTCCAAATGAGAAATCATTTGCCAATACTGATGCATGTTCGTCGGAGGGAATTACCTTTGGCCGCTCCGCTGAAATCCAGGGTTCCCCCATACACAGACTTTATCATACACAGATGCTACGTGGATCGCGATCATATTCATACGAGTAATGACATCACTGCCGTCCGTGGTAATTTGAGCACTTGGTTCGAGGTTTTTGTGATGTGTTTTGGTACTTTGCTGAAACTCTTTTCGGCTTTTCATCACGCTGTAATGCATATGTCTAAAATTTGGGTAAGAACATACATTAATCCCTTGGATTCGCGATGAACGCGTGCTGTAATATTCCCGTACAAGTGACTTTACGCGAGGTGCGATCGATCGTTGGTGGACCGACCGGACATGTCTGGGATCGTTACTCTGCCTGACACCATTACAGCACCATGCAATTCACTGTGATCAAGAAGACATCTCGCATACTGCCTCGGCACTTTCCGAATTATTTTTATACAGCCAGAACGCATATGCCGTCCAAAACTGAAATGGTTGGTATCACGTGAACATATTAAAATTACGCGATTGTCGCAACAGAATAAGAAAAAAATTCAGAAGTAATGTCTGAGCTATCAGATGCCGTATCATAGTTTACAGTTAAGCGGTATCGGTCTCATCGAGAATAAATTTTCAATTGCTATTAGCAATCATACTGGCATTAGAGACCATTTCGAAAGGCTATTAAATTACGTATTTGTTTTAATGTGCATATAACAACATACTTTGAGTTTTGGGTTTTGTGATACTCAATTCACTGGCTCTTTTAAATTATTCCCGATAGCGGGATGTTTTGACTGAAATAATGACTATAAGTGGAAGATAATATAATATATTTAATTTAACATGCGCTTCTTTCCTTGTCAATATTAATATTTTAAAAAACTATTACCTTAACTTACTCTTAATCCGAATGCTAGTATATAATAATAAGAGACTTCTTCGAACAAGTAAATAAATACACTGGATAGTCCCGAAACCTAATCGAGGTCTTGCTCACAAGTCCGCATCAATTAAGGTTAAGATATAAAGTCCTATTGTGCTGCGCTAAACTATTTAAAATAAAAATATTAAACTGTTAATCCCTTAGTATTAGGAAATACTACTAATACTGCTTTATAGAATTATTAGAAGAATAATACTAACGGTAATTCCTCCAAGTCAAAGAGTATATTAATTATAAAAGATCGATTATTTCGACGCGTCTTTTCAAGGAATTTTTTATAATCGCTCTGAGTCGCTCCTAGTGAATGAGTTCGGTTGAATAATTGTAAGCAATTAATTTGGCCGTTAATTTGTGTATTTTACTTGATACCGGGCGTAACTTTCACCGGGAATTTATCTAGCATTTATAAAAGGTAGGGCACAATTGTCCGAATTTGATTGATATGGCATCATTATCTGTTTAGGAACGCAACAATCTTACAATTTTATTAATTATCACGAGCACAACCGTGTAGATAGAAAGCAAGGATTGATATAATTTTGTTGGTTATTGTGTGATATTTTTAAAGCAAAACAAGCTTAACGCTTTCGTCTAATGAGGTTTACTTACTGAGTGGGCAAATCGGAATGGAAGATTATTGCGATATTTGAAAAAGTAGTTATAAATTTAGTATTTATAGCTTTACTATTACGGATTTCTTGGTGAGATGCTGAGTATATCTCTCCGTTTCGTAACATGAGGATCGATCGGTTTAAATTATTGTGAGTTTATAAAGAAACCTTAGAAAGGTAATTTCCGTCAGCTGGCACTAGGAATATAGTTTATATATTGAAATGAGAACTTTGTCGGTAGAATTAGGACGAGTCATAAGGTGAAAGCTTGAGAGATTAAAGAATACCTGAATAAAATATAACGGAGGCTTTCATCGATTCTGTAGTGCGGTCAGTATGACGCTGCTAGAAAGGATAGTTCCACTATCAGATGAAAACTTGAATGGCTTTGTCGAAGGTAAGAGTTCGTTATCATACAGCACCAGGCATTGGAAAGCGTACGGAGTATTGAATGACAGCTTGGCAGGCTAGGGTTTGGGAAGAGCAAGATGGGATCTGAAAAAGGGGGGAGGGTGGGGAAGGTTCATCAAATCTCATTAGATAATACAGCTGCCGCAAGACGGCAACGCACTGCTGCCAACACATGCTAATGCATATGATTGGTCGCTATACATCTATGTTTTATAAAACAACACTTACACTTATAGCTGTGCGCCAAAGACAAAGATCGTGTAATCGACAGGAAGACAATCGCTCGCTTCTCGTGGGGGTTAAGCGTAAGCTTTATTATTGGACGTAGTCAGATCACGATTGAATGCATAGATGCGTCAGTATATGCTAATTAAAGTAACTCTTGCAATATATTTCATCAATCGCTCACCGTGAACATGGAACATGCGCTTTTAAAGATCTTTTTCATGTCAAGCATACAGTCCATTATTGTGCTCTTGGTCTAAATGTTCCCAGCGGATTACAGCAATGAAAACCAAAAGTACGGCTTACTATCGACTCGGTCATTTATGTTATGTCCATGTGATACGTCTTAGTTATATTGATGAAGTCGTTCTGTCTACGCCCGTAAAAGACATGGCACATCAGTTAAACTTGCTATGTCTATTTTTTCTTCAACTCTTGGCGGGTAGGTTGGCCCATGCATTTCCAATAGCAGAAATCATTTTACATTTTATGATCCAAATTATCTCTAGAGTACAAGTCCTTTAAACGGACAACTCATGACTGATTCAGTACTTCCGTGTTTAATGTCTATGGTGTCGTTGAGACTGCTACTTATAAAATAAGAAGAATCAATAATCAACATACGAGATTAGCAAGAAACGAGACAAAGAGAGGAGGACCACCTACAAACATTACATACTTCCAATACGAGGTAATACTGTCGATGATGTGGTCGCATTCGTAGATCGATGAGTGGAGGGTATCTTGTCGATTCGGGGTGGGAGTATTCACTGAAATAAGCATTGGATGAGGATGACGACCCTCCGGGTAGAAAAGCCTAGCGAGGAAGAGATACAACAGCCGACGATGATACTGTATTCTTTCTTCCATAGGCTGAGCGTTCCTTGTTTGTCTACAGGCATTTCACTCTGCGGGCCATACTCTGTCCTGTCACCATAATCAACATTGTTAATTATTGTGTACGATTAGAACGAGGCGTCATTTGCTTTTTCACAAGTAGTAAATGCAAGGTATGCATAGACATGTTCCTGTACGCTTAATTTCTGTGTCCTCGGAAGAACAAAAATATCAGGGAGACATCTCCGATATAGACGACTCAAAATGAATATACTGATACGTTCTTATTACCAATCGTACTGACAATACTCTTCATTCTCTTTGCCGAGTTCTATATTACTATTACTATTGTAATTGATAATAACTCTCGCATTACCTATCGCGAGGAACTTTTATAACTCTCGCATTACCAAATTTGAATTAACCTAATTCATATAACGCGTGATCAGATACATTGTATAAGAACCTATTTATTTTATGTGTTTGCGCGTTACGTATTCTTCAATGTCCTCCTACAAACGTAAATCCAAGCAGCGGGGATCGAATACAAGCGGCGTGAATCGGGACAACCAAGACCAAGAGAAAAGGTCACGCATATTAGCTCAGATAAAAGAGCCTTGGAATCAGAGATTGTTGAGAGAAAAAAGGAACGAGAACGCGTTGGCCCAATAAATGACATCATGTATCCTAGGTTTTAATGTATTTCACCGAGAGTCGAGTAGTGATTTGTAAACATCGGAGAAAGCATAAAAGCAGAAGTAGCAAAGGTCAGTTTTTATAGAATGTTTCTCGATGGATACAATAAAAAGAATACGTAGACGCCATTTCCCATTAGAATATTTATACAAAGATCTATATTCTTATCCATAGTGTCGAGAACGAAATTGAATCACCAGTGCACTATGCTGTTTGACGCTCTAAAGAGAAAATTCCCTGATCTGACCACGTATGGTGACGACCTAACTCATGAAAGGAGCATGACGGAAGGAACTTCTGACGTGGGCAACGAAATATGCCATTATTACGATTCACCGTAAATAGGTATTATTCAAACTATCGTTATTGTCGAAAGTTAACAAACAACATTTGTGATCTGATGTCTGTATATGTGCGTAGTCCGATGTAGTATTTCTCTGGAAGAACAAAGTATCGGACAAAGGGGAAATATTTCCTGAGGTGCAATTGTATCCAAGGATGCCAGAACAGTGTAAGTTTAAGTAATGCTAAAGGTTAAATTGTTATTGAATTCTCTATGTGGGTCGATATTAATATGTATGTTATACGGATAGGGCGTTTGCTGGATGAGAAAATTTAATAGACCAGATTCCATCAAAATTTCAGTCTAGTAGAACTGAAAGGGATACAATCAGCTGTGGAAATCACGCTTAAATGTATATTTGGGGTCGTCCCGACCGTATAGTCATTCTTGAATAATGGGAAGGGAGTTACGTGGTCAATAAATACTGTTCTTCATTGAAGCTTCTCATCCGGGGTTTCGTCTCAGGTGATAGGCTGATGCCGAGAGCCAGCATATTAATATCATACCAAGTGTAAACAAGTGTCCAAAACAACTTGATCTCGAGTCTGGGCCCTCAGCGCCAGCTACCTCTCTAGCCACACAATCAACAAGTTTGTCAACCATCAACTCACAGAACTACAAAGGGTGACACAAATGGAGCATCAAGAACAATTTAGCTTTCAATATATTGGAACTACAGAAGCAGCAACGATACCAACACCAGCAACAGGAACAATGGCAGCAAGAGCAGCATCAACGCCAGCAACAGGAACAACGATAATACACAGTTAAATGAAGAGCTGTGTAATTTACAAAATTGCCTTAATGCTCGCTCACGAAAAAGTTTTTACATATGAAACAAAGATCGAAGAGTTAACACGAGAAGTAAAAAAGACTAAATACAGAGAAGCAGGAAAGTGTAGAGACTACTTTATCTTTATTGTAACAGAGTCAGGCACATCTTCAACAATGCATACGTAAGCATTTGAAAAAAATCTGCAGTTGAAATCAGAAAATGAAAACCTTTCAGAACGTATAAAAACATTGGAAAGTGAGGTCCAATCTGTTCGAAATGCAATTAACGAAAATACCGTGCTTCAGCACAATGTGCACCCTTCGCTCGCAATCGCAACAAGGCATGACATCACAAGAACTGCAGTCTATTGAAACACTTTATCCTCAGCAGCTCCTTCTCAAGCTCTTCAAACTTACAGGATTGCTTACGTGACAACTAAGCAACAACTTCGTGACGTAACTGCAGAGCGTGACAAGTTGGATCAAAAAGTCCATACCCTTATGGATGAGAAGAATCGTGTACCTATGCTTCAATATGAGATTGAACACTTGAAGAAACAAATGGTAACTCAAACCGAGCAGTATACGCGAGATCTTCAGTGCCATCAACACAAGACCACTGTTAAGCGGCTGACTGAACTTCCCTAAATCAAATGTCTACCGGACTAAAAGCAATCTTCTCTGACAAACCACCACCTCTCCGTAACACCTCTTCGACGCCGTAACACGCACTATGACGCGGACATACCGAGCCCGCCCAAAGAAAAGCACAAGAATACGATAATCTGTTACGTAATGAAAGCCAAGAATTGTCAATAATTTGCAATTCGTTTTATTTGAACGCGCGCCACGCAGAGAAGACCTCTTGAGCGGATCTTACGATTGCCAATAACAAGATAGCATCACTCGAACAACACCTCCGTCACACCATTACTACTGACGAATCTCACGCACTCTCTTGGCATCTGGGATAGATCAATTGACCTTCAATATCTCAAACACCCTCTTTACGCAAACACCCTCGATATCTCAAACGCCCTCATTAGCTCCATCACCCCCGGCAACTCACGGAATTCAGAATGATACAAGAACAGCCGGAGCTTGCTGGACAACAAGGACTCAACAGGGGGACCAGACACAAACACGAGGGTCGATTCATCAATCGGCCTTTACTACCGACAAAAGGACTTTATAGCGCGTTTCCGGGGTTTCACATCTTGTGTGTATTGTTTGTGATTAAGAATGTTCTTGTATTTTATCTCGATTTTTCGAGATTTCTGTTCTCGCGCCACTATTATTGCGTGCGCTGTCTCCGTGCTCTTACCCGCTGCTTGCGTATGAGAAGGGTTTGAAAGGGTAACTATTAGTATTTATAAGATGTGTTTGGTTATATATGTCACCATCTCTTCTTACAATTCTCTCCGCGTTAGACATGCCTGATGAATGCTTTGTAAATATATGGAAACAACTAGTCGACGTTCTTGATTTGGCCTTGTTATCAAAAAGGTATGTTCATTTCTATTTGCCAGTACTAAGGAGACAGAACGAAAATTAAATCTTCTTTGCTTTCTAGTACACCGCCACAAACGAGGAAGATCGAACAGCACGACACAGATGAAGCATGCGATATGAACTTCCTTCTAACTTTACAGTTAGATGTGCTCATCCATGTGGGCAGCCAACGAGTGCCATTGTAAACGATTCGAAAGGGATCGCTGGTATATTCTACGAATGTTGTTGTCAATTGACCCTAGCCGGCTCATTGGACAAACCCAGACGCGCCCCTCGGTCATTTCAGGTGTAACTCATCGAAACAGCAAAATTTACCCATCACCAGAGAACGTTTTGCATACATGTTGTCTCGGTGCTTGTATGATTCGTGTTCAGGCGAATCGTGATATATAATTTGGACAAATCATATCGTCGTTTAGATCAACGTCATCGAAGGTTGCTGCGCCGCGAGGCTATTACTGAGGACTATTAAAAGACTCTAATGAAACCGGATCAATCTCAAGTTTCCTCAACACAAATCTGGACACCCACACAATGTCAGACAGTATTGACGACGCGATCGACCCTTCATCCTCAGTCCACTCCCTTCTTCTCGCACGCCCCCTCTGTTTCCATCATCCCTTTCAGCTTTGTCCTCTTGCATTTCTCATACCACCTCGCGCCCAACCACGTCAAATTCTCAAATTGGACCCTCGAGACTTCTTCCGTTCGAGTGGGAAGACAAGTTGATCGTCCATTGGAGGCGAATGATGGTCAACGGATAATCTTACGAATAATAATAATCTTGTCAGGACTATCGAACAACGGTTGGAAACCAAACAAATTGGGATCGAACATTACACGGACCAGTATTACGGATATGTTGAGTGTGCACAATGAGGTTGGTTTTGTGAATGAAAATAGGGAAACGAAACGATATTGAAATACGCTTATGCAAAGAACAGAACATGAGAATGTATGCTAACAATGATACATGATTTCTTCGTTATCAGTTTACAAATCGGACTATTATATCTACTGCATGTAGGACTCGGAGTGAGCGCGCGTAGGTTCACAATTATGGTAATGATGCTAATAGTGATGGTAAAGAATAAACAGGAAGCATACCGTGAATTGTCATGGATACTAAAGATGCGCGTAGATCTATGCCTTTTCATGAAAGACCGTCGACCTTTATACAAGTTCCGATCTTCCCAATTCAATGTGACATGGTCGAGTCTTCTTTTAAAATCTTTAAACAGCGTCCCTATTAAATAACTTGATTAAAACTCTCGAGATTGTAAATCTCTTTTCCTGACTTGGAAAAAACCATCCCATCTAACGACTGAATACAGTCCCCGGCAAAAGTAATGGTGGTCAGTTTTTGGGACGTAATGATGCAAAGGCTACGAAATGAACGTCAGATCGAGGGCAATCCTCTTATGCCCCGATTTAATGAATATATGAAAAGGGATTGGATACCCAAACGTCATCGTCGTCATACATGGATCGTTACGAATTCCATTTCCACGACGGGTAACTGGGTCAGATGGACAGTTTGACAAATAAAGAATTGTTAATTATCAAAATTCTGCAGTCACACAACATTTGGTCACAACTTTTTTGCGAAAACAGCGATTATAACGTGAAAACTTCTGCGAGCCAGTGATTACTAAACCTTTCTGAAGAGTAGAAGACGCCTATTTAATACAACTTTACCTCTTTACTTAGCGCAAGGCAAGAAAAGGAAGCTTGTTGGGTTGTTACACCAGCGATTATGAGGCGATTATAACTGATTCTATTGGCTAAAATTTTTTGATGCTATTTTGAAAAGTGCTATAATAAATTTTGGACACATGTAATATTGAGACAACTACAACTTCCGAGATTCAAATTTGGAATTATAGTACGTCAAATTCCCTGCACTTAGTTATAACTTCAACCAGTCTATCTGAGTTGTCGCAATCATGCGCAAAGAATAAATTTAATATTAATAGAGTTACATTTTTTTTGCTTGTCCAATTGACAGGCTTTTATTTGATTCAACTCAATATTAGTATATGCCGCATACCAAATAAAAATAACCAAATACGAAAAAAAGATAACGGAGAATAATAAAACATTATTTGTAAGTATAAGAACACATTAATGTTAGGAGAGGTGCTTTAAAAATCTAGACATTTGCTGTTAAAAGACTAATTGTATCTCAATATTGATA